TGGAATAACAAGTAGAAATAATTTAACAACAGTAGAACAAGAGCAGGGAAATACAAATTACAAACTAAATACACAGAAGCAAACAAGCAAGTGAAGAACGGCATAAGAACTGACAAACAGAAACACGTAGTACAACCATCAAGAATGGCGGAAAAATCTGCAAAAGAAGGAAGTGTGATACAAATATATGACACGACGTGGAAACTGGCAGGGAAATATAGTAAAGCAGAGTGACAAGTTAAGCACAAATAAGGAAAGACAATTACTGAGATTCAATGACAGAGGAACATATGGATGGAACGTTATGAGGAACTGTTAGATAGATCATCTTCGAAGAATCCATCGAACATCGAAGCGACACACACAGATCTACTTATAGCCGTCAATCCACCAACGATAGAAGGAATCAGGACGGTCGTCAGAGTGTGGAAGTTGTAGGACCCGACAATATACCAGCCGAAACAACGCAGTCAGACATAGAGGTAACTTTAAACATGCTTCACTATCTATTATTGAAGATTTTCGAGAAAGAACAAGTATATATATATATATATATATATATATATTGTAAGATCCAAACCTAAATTTCAATCGATCTGGCTTTGATTGAATAACTAGAGTAAAAGTTTAGTAACGCGTCTCACAACCGAAATCAAAACAAGGTGTTTTGGGTAACAACGGTTCTTAAATTCACCATATATACAAATGTACAAATATACCTAAACAAATATTACCACACAGCTATCCAACCAACACTTGATCCCAAAATAATCAATCTAAATTACAATAAATAAGTAGTTGATAAGAAATATAAGAAATTTACCGAAAGCACCAAAAAGTGACTGTTATTCTATCCTTTCTGTATAGTTCAAGTAAGAAATCCACTTGATGAGTTTCTTTATAACACAAAGTGTTTCAAATCCTGGGAAAGTGCTCCAATTTTCAACCAAAATGCACGATCTCACTCAAAATCAAACAACACAATCAGATAGCGAACAGTCAATATGGCAGCCGCTGGAATAATATCAACTAAAACAAATTATACACAGTTCAAGAAAAAAACATAGAAACTCAATGAAAGCGATAGAAAGACTGAGAAAACTATTATGAAATTAAACGTTACAGTCTCAATGGGCATCAAAAGATTACCAATATGTACAAATAAAGAAACCACAAAGATGAAATAGCATATGTATACATGGAGGGATTTTCACCTTCAAAATGGATCTTATATATATATATATATATATATATATATATATATATATATATATATATATCGAACGTAGGAAACAAGGAGTAGTTTCATTGATCATTCTAATGACATCCACATAGAACAAGTGAACACAATCACACAATAATGAAAGCATCTAAGTATTTACAGTGAGAGTGATATAATTGAAGAGTTGAATAAGAAGTCATCTAGATCCAGTATTCTAATCCATAAGACTATAGCGCTTAAGTCGATAAATACGTATTTCAGGTCTTATTCAGTTCATCTCCACTAAAATGTAGGTTAGTTCAGTTGACAATTCTCAGGTAGTACATAATAGAATTCTTGAATCCATATATATTTACTTCTCTAATATGTGAATATAAGGACCATTAAGGCATTCTACATCTTACAGTTCTAAACTTTACAATAAACATTCATCAATTCAGTTTTATACATTTTACAAGAAGAAAACAACAAATAACGATGGTTATGTTGCCATACTGTGGTGTGGGTTACTTATATTCACATATGTAGTATATGTTAATGATCAGGAACAGAATGTATCTTGGTAGAAGATCAATAAGGAAAGAACAGTGACGAAAGGCAATCGATATGTTAATATACATGAACAATGAAATGAAAGAAAATGGACTGGCATTTGCAGAAGAAACAGTCGAAAATGAGACCATTGATTGTTATTTAGCAAATTACCTGTTAACTGTATGGTTACCAGATGATAGAGAAACAGTCTGTAATTTGGAGTACAATACATTTGATTGATCACCATTCATGTTCTTGTTCACCAGAATACTAATAGGAAGAATAGTTCTCGACAATGCAAGGAGAAGACGAAGTTTCTCAGCATTATGTGATATATTTGCGCAATACATTTCAAACAACGTGATTACACTCATACTTGTTAAGACAATTTTATATGAAAATTAAAAGGTCAAATAGACAGGTTAAAAGGTAAGCCGTAACAAAGAAAATAAAGTACACAAAAGCAATGTTGTAACCACTCTGAATTATTATTAATTATTACCAAAGTAGGTTATAAGTAAGAACAAATTGTTTTCGAACAAATAAGATAGGTTTAAAGTCTCGTTTAGCCAAGGCTTCCATAAACTTGAATACATGTCTTTGAAGGCTTTTGTACAATGCTGCAAATACTGACTTGATGTCAACCTTATGACCAGTCTGTAACAAATGTTTTGCAATGAAGGAAGATGTCTGTCTATCCTGTGATGTTATTTGATCATTAGAATTCATTTGTTTATGTAGCCATTTGAGTATGTGTCCCGCCACCATTAATTGCAGACCACGATTGCGCCTACTATGTACGTGTTTCCGCACATACATGTAAATTAGTATACACAATGGGATGTGACACAATCGCTTATGTGCTGTCTAGGTTTTTGGTAAAAAATAGACGTTGTCTTTCAATAATGACAAATTGAGATGCATAAAATAACCTGCTGATGGCTAATTTAAGTCTCCGTTTCAACAGGAAACTATGTGAGTTGCCCCCAAATGGTAACATAATATGAACTCGCTTTTTGGGTGCCAGAAACGTCATAGTTTTAATCGTATTGCAACCCTTTCAGTGGTTTATAAATTTCAATGAATAACCATTATTCATTAACGTGTAGGTTAAAAGCTTCGTCTCCATCTCAATAGTATCTGTAGTACAAATACGATTGATTATATTGAATAACCCCTTTATTAAACCACGTTTGTAATGAATTGGGCAGTGACTATGGTAATTAAGATATTGCCCTGTCCATGTCGGCTTTCTACATACAGAACGTTGGATGGAACCATCATCTCTCCTACTAATCAGTATGTTTAGAAAAGGAAGTTGATTGTTCTTTTCTTCTTTGCATGTAAGAGAGATATACTTTTGAATTGTATTGATTTCATTTAACAAGCGATAGTTTAAGAGTTTTGGAGAAAAAAGTAGCCTTATTAAAAGCCATTTATTGGGTCTTGAAATCCTTAGCAAATAAAGTTCAATTTAATCTACCAAAATTTAAGACTTTCTATTTTTTTAAAAAGCTGGAATACGAATTAAATGTACGAAGCTCTACTCGGGAGAAAAGATATCACAGGTATGTATCATTAATATCTTTAGAATTGATAATTACGAGTGAATTGAACGTTGTTTGGATGTTAATAATAGAATACTGACATATTTGTGATATTACAATTAGTGGAAATTAGAATTTGTTGTGTTTCATGATTTCATGTAAGCCGCTTCTTCAGAGTAAATTAAGAGAAACCTGGATTGGATAGGTTGATTTTAAAGTTGGTTATAGGATTCCTTATCTACAAAGATTTCTTCATATTCAACTTTATGAATCAACAGAAGCTCTTGTCATCCTTAAAACAAAGCCCGGACTATTTATTTATTTATTTAATCACATATACATTCGTACAAATGGCACCGGATGCATATGTTCCTGCTACCAGTTTATTTTCATTCAACCTTTCTATTACCTTTAATTGTTGTCACGAATGAATTTTTGTTATCTTATTTCACTTACATTACACGAAATTGTTAACTTGCTAACTTTACAATGTGGGGAGTAGTGTAACGTCGTGTACTATATTACACCTACATAGCTTATTCTAGTTTCTGGACAAGCCAATTCACCTATAATGTTATGAGTCATATTTTGATGTTGTTAATTATTCGCTTATTGACCTTGACTATATTTTTTATATGAGCGCATGTGTATACACATTTCGTATCTTATTCATCGCATGTCTGTCATACATATTTGTCTGACTATAAATGTTGATTAATGCTTGCTCATAGTGAGTTGGCTTCCCAGCCATCTCCACTATGCGTCATCTTTCCTTCGCTTACTTACATTTGCTAGTGTGCTCACTGCCTTCTAGCCCATGTTATTTGTCAATAAAAATGTAGTTGCTGCTTCCCTTTGTCTTCTGATATTATACACCGTTTACGATGATATAATAACGGTTATCGACACGATCGATTAACGAAGCACGCCACTAGAACAAGGCTTTCTACGTACATAAACAATCTTTTATTGCTATTATTTACAGTATGTAGTGTAGCATTAAAACCTTTTCATTACATTATCATGTTTATTCATTGTTCATATGTTCTCACAGAATGAATACTTTAAATTTCATGTATGCATATGACTACAACTTAATGCCTTCAAATGCCCTGGTACGACCGAGAGTGGGGAGAGTCCGCTCTTCCTCTCGAAATGCTCTCACATGGCCACGCATATACAGCATCCGCCAGAAAAGTCCTACTCACTGCCTTCTCGTGGCAGGGGTGTTGTCAACGGAATTGAGAGGACGAAAAGCGAATGTACGGCCCATTAACCGGTTTGGTGGACACGGTGAGTCTACCTAGGGCACTGGAAAACTCTGATTTCAAAGCAATGGTGCACATGGGCTCCAGGATCGTGAAGGAACAAATGGCGTATGAATTAATCGTTGGTCACCGGCTACCATGGGACTGCATCTCCTCACGATGCTCCACTGCCTTGTGGATGAGACATTTAGGTCAAATGCTGGGGGTGTGGAATGGTAGGAAAACCATCTGTTTCAGTTTGTGCATCTTGGTAGTATCACAGACCTCACACAAATCAAATGAGATTTGTGCGGCGCATATGTATTCGGTGCTTTCTTGTAACAATATTTATGTGTTTAAATAAATAAATAAGGTTGACTAGTTTGACACTTAGTTCCCCTTTTTTTTCTATATACTTAAGGTTTTCTTTTTCTATATATTTCTTTTTAGAACATTTGAAAAGATCTATACACATGCACAAAATAATTCTGGTTACTTTATAATTATTGGATTGATTGTATTAGCTGCTATATCATGGTATTTTTGTATTAGGTAATAGATTGGTAATTCTTTTTAATGTTGATAGCTCAATAACCCAATTTATGTATTTATTCTTGTAAAAATAATGTATTGTGATTGTAGTTATTAAATGGTCTCCAAATGCCCTGTAACAGCCGAGAGTAAGGAGAGTCCGCTCTCCCTCTTGAAATGCTCTCATATCGACACACGTATATAGCCTCTGCCATGGAAGTCCTACTCATTACCTCCCTTACAAAATTGAAAGAGCGAAAAGTGAATCTCCGGTGCTTTAGCCGGGTTGGTGGACATGGTGGATTCACCTAGGTGAGTAGGAAAACCTTGATTCCAAACCAATGGTATACATGGGCTCCAGGATTTTGAATAAACAAATGACGTAGGGACCAGTTATTGGTCATAGACTATCATACAACTGCTTCTTGCGTTGCTCCACTGTCTTGTAGATCAGACCTTCAAGTCAAAAGCTCGGTAAGTGACCCCCTAAGAAAATCACCTGACTCGGTTAGGGGCACATATGCAGTACTGCAACCTTCACACAAGTCAATGATAACTAATCATCGTTATTGTATGACGCATACGTATTTGTTGCCTCTTGTATCAATGTTTATATGTTCAAATAAATAAATAAATGATTACATAAGGTAATATGAATGACAATGAAAGTTCGGATACGTTGAGTTATATTGTCAATAAAGACATATACTAATCATACCGTTTTAACTTTTCTGTCTTCAATGTATATGATACCATCAGACCTACATTTCCATGCGACTATATCCCACCAACTGGATTTGATTTTTCACAGTCACAACAACGACCACCACCTCCAACTTATGATGAGACAATTTTCAAAGGTAAGTTCCATGATGAATTAAATTAGTTAGTTTGTTGGTTAGTTCTTTTTGCCAACTTTTATTGTTATAAATAAACATATAGTGTTGGTAACATCAATAAATTACAAAATACTTATTAGTTATTTTGCTCAGTTTTAAAAGTCTTTGACATCAACCCATTAGTGTTGGAAGTTCTCACCACTCATAATGTTTTGTTGCCTGATAAAATCTTAGTACCAATTCAGAGAGTTTCATTGGTGTTTTTCAGCTTAGGCCACTTGTAGCGTAGGTGGGATATCGGTCTACCAACGAAATGACAAGTTTACTGTGCATTAGATCACTATCTTACGGTTGCTAAATGTAATATTTAAAAATAGAGGATATTCATAGCTTATTATTATTATTTCACCATAGGTATCTTTGAAGCATTGCTTGTATATTTTGAAATCACGAAGTTAAAAACTCTAAGGTTAGACAGAGTATTGGGTAAGGATAGTAAATCCGTTGATGAGTCAATGAATATTTATCAATTGATATGGCTAGGATCTGTATTACATGTGTCCATCCACCGATTACATCGACGCGCGATAATGGCTGATGCAGAACTGTTGGAAGGAAATTATTAGTGACCAAACTAAGATATAATCTGAAGTCCATGAAAACAGTGATTGTTTAACTGACCCATGTAGGCAGGTGGAGACAGTTCTAGTTTTCATAACCCATTAGCGCAGACAGATGAAATTATCAGGTCAAATGTCAGAATGGAGGAGATAGTAACAGCGTCAGTGGTAATAAGAATGATTAGGCATCGAATATGCGATTCAGGAAGAAAATGTAAATTAGTAAAATAAAAAACAAAAGACGGTTTTGAGGAATTCCGAAGTTCAGAATTTGGAGGAAGACAAAGTATGGATGCAGATGAGCCATTGCAAACGATGTTGAGCGATGCCATTCAAAGTCCTGAACCATTGTTTACGATAATCACCCTGACCACAACCAGGTAGTAAACACCTATTGACATGGCTAAGTCTAATTGTCGATGATTTCATAGACCGATGCCATGTTTCGGTTTTGGCTTCTCTAGCTTCCTTCCAGCCGACCCATACATCAGACATCATTGTCCCATCGAGAAAAGCAGTGGTTGAGCATACGTAATATATGTCCCAACTACTTCAGTTAATGAAGATTTATCAATTCACAAATCAAATTGCTATCCTTATCTAGTACCGTATTCTTGTCCCAGGTATTGCTTACTTCGTGGTTCTAAGTTACACCAGCAATGCTCTTAGTCACTTTTAGTGGAATACCAGTAAATTACGAATATCATCTGTTCTTCTTTCTCATGTTTTGCACTCGTGAAGTAGGATGAGGAGTAAGCTCGTCTTTTGATCGCTAGACGGATATCTTGCCTATACCACTAGTGACGCGAGCTGAAAGAATTTATTTGAGAGTTCTGAATCCGTGCAGATAGCTTGTCAGACACCAAACCACCTAGACTGAGGAGGTCAGTGTATGACATGGTGTCGTGGCATGAAAGAGAGCTGCAAGGGGCTAGCTTCTGTTGGTCCTTCACGACTCCCTGGCTGGGGTCCGAGAGATGGTACAACACAGTGGCTAGAGACGTTATCAGATATGGCTCAGAATAGAAGCCAATGGCGGTCCTGCTGTAACCTTCTACTTTCTTCATAAAGAGTGGCTATAACTATCCTAACTGAGAGAGCTCTTCTGGTTGTACATTCAGTTCCCCCCATCACTACTCTTCTCCTTTTCTTTTTTTCCTTCTTTTATAAATACGCATCTTCTTCCTTCTCCCATTCTTATTATTTTGTGTGGCGCATATGTATCCGGTGCCCTTTGTACCAATATATGTGATTAAATAAATAAAAAAACCACCTAGACTGACGAGGTTCCCAATATGAATGGAGCGGCCGTAGGGTTCAACTAATGCACATCCTATTATTAATCTGGGTGCTGACCGAAGTCTGTTTTTTCAAGGCATTATTTTGCACTTGGAGGGTTGAATTGCATTCCAAACATGCTTGCATCGTTGTATAAAGTAATTGGAATGTATTTTATCATTGTCTTCACCAAACTGAACTATACCATCTGCATGTTCTGAGTCAACAAGAGGTTCTCCTAGTAAAAGATAAGTCCTTGAAATGTGAGACGATGACAGTGTCATCTCAACAAGAATGTGTATGACATAGTTGGATGAATGTGAGGAGGACGAACGATGTTGACATACACCACTTGAAGCAACTAATTCCAATAACAGTTCATTATGAACTTTGACTCAACCAATGATGTTCGAGTAAAGAGATATTTTCACTAAGAGCCATATTTCTGTATCCGTTATCTTGATAAGGTTGAATAGATGTATACTGTTACCTATCTCTGCTGTCTTTTCCATCTCTTCTGCTCTCACTACGCACTACTGCTCACGATCACTACATAGGCTTTCAGGTAACCTACGTTGAAGCTGTCTCTGCTCCTCATCGTGTCCCGAGCCAAATAGTGTTAGTTTCCGAGGGTTTATCGTTTCTGTAAATTCCGCTGAAATCCACTGAGTTTTCCTAATCTTTTAGTTTAAGTCGCTAGTGGATATAACTGCTGTCTCCACAAATTTTTGGATACAGTATCATTTTCACGGTTGACCAGCTTTTTCTTTAGTTATTCCTGAAATATATTCTTGACGTCCTCATCGTTAGGTTGAGCTCCAAGGGGTTTTCTTGCTATAGCTTTTCCACATCCCTCTGTAGGATGAGGAAAAAAATACATGGTGAAACCAGATCATGATCTGAGTTTAGACATGTACCCCAGAGTGAGCGACAGTCTTCGATCGAGCCTCTCCAACTATGGCCTCAACTTTAGGCATTGTTTCCTGTTATGTTTAAATTGGGTGTTTGCTAGAAATAAACATTATCCCGGCTTAACTGCAGCAGACGGTCGTCATTGTCTTTTCGCCGAACCACGGCTCCGTTAATCTTCCTAAGTGCCTTTCAGTTTGGTTTAGCTTACCTACTTGAGCATTGAAATCACCCTCTACTAGCACCTCGTCAAAGCATTTTTTAAAGGAGGTTGGATATCTTCCTATAACATTCATCCTTAAGTTCGTCCGACTTGCAATCAGCGGGAGCGTAAGCAGAGACAACAAAAAGGCAACAACGTGTGTCCCTATCTTTTCGAGTTTTTACAGTCCCATTTCGTCGGACAGCACACAAGCGACTGTCTAGCAAAACCTGTCGTGCTTTTGAAGTTAATGCTGTACCTATACCAGCGAGGCCACGAAAGTAGAAGTGGGGTCCCCAGTTATTCGGAGGGTAAGTCGTGCTTGTTTTTTATATTGACATGGTGAGGTCAAATGAATAAGCGTACCTGGATCATGTATTTGCGTTTTCAGGACACAGCATACATCGATGGCACGAGATTTTAGGGTCTTGACTTAGGACGCCTGTTGTCCTATTCGACTGAAGGTTCAAATGTCAAAATCTCCAACATGTAGTTTAGAGCCTGGTTTCAGGAGACCAGGAATAACATTTCGTGATTAGCATTGGTGGCACGGGGTAATAAAGATATGAGAGAAGGGTCAGTAGTGGGAATGGGAGAATTATTAATGGATGAGGCAGGCACTTGGTTGTGAACAGGATGATCTCAGGTGGTGAAAGAGGCATGAAAGCGGTTGACACCTCGCGTCTACCTACAACGTGCTGGGATGCTGCTCCTTTAGGGAGCTGAATTAATAGTGGTCTCAGAGCTTGACCCCACAACTCAAAGGACAGCTGTTTGCGCGTTGCCCTTCCATAGGAAGCTTTCGGGGTCTTAGCTGCACTGTTTGTGAAATCAGAATAGCTGCACATGCTAGTTGTCTGAGGGGTAAACCTTACTGCTGTCACATCCTTCTTCAGTCAGCAGTACATCTTCACCTTCTTACCTTAAATTCTGTAAATATGCACTTCGATTGGTTGGTTACGTTTCCAAACATTATTCAGTTGTTTACCCAAGTTATGGTTTTTACGAGAGAACTTCGGAAATTTTATTGTGAGACTAGTCATCGATGTATGAGTATAGATTCATGTGATTTCATGAAAATCTGTGTACATTATAAAGATGTATCTTTTGTCTCGTCTCTCATTTCGATGAGTATATTTCCAATCTTCCATCTTATCGCTCATCTTGCTTCCTTCCTGTCTCTGAATGTATGTGGTGACTTCAAGTATGACAGCTGGAGTTTATAGACGTTTTCCTGCTCTATTATGCCTTGTCTGTGACTGACTGATATTTGCTATCAAGTATTGTCGTTGAATATTTTAGTATCTAAACATACTGAACACACTTTTTCATTGTATCGTGGATTAATTTTCTCCCTTCATCAGATCATGAAGACAATTCTACAAGACGACGTCAAGCTCCATCAGCACCTCCAGAATACGGTTGGACATCAAATGTTATGGGTCCATCACAGTCACGTTCTCGATGGAATTGGAATAAATCAGAAGATCAGTCTACTTCATGGTTATCTAATGGGCTAGCTGCAGGTGCTGGATTTCTTGGAGGCTATTTTATGGGATCTAGATCAAATACCAATCCTGGTAGTGGTTATTCACGAACTACTCCAGTCTATACTGAAGAAGAATCATTTGTTCGAAGTGGAAGTGGTTTTTCAGATTCACATTATACTTCTTCAAATACACATTTTACACATGATCGTCGTTCACGAACTCCTTCACCGGAAACTCATATATCATCGGGTAATGTACTAATGTTGTTTATTGTTTGTGTGTATATAGAGTAGTTTGTTTATTCAGGTTTGCAAAAATCTCACTTTAACTGCATACTTATTCAATGTTTCATACTTTCCTTTTTACTCTTAAAGGTTTTGGCGGTACATCGCGCAGATGATTTTCTAACTACAGAATTGATGTTATTATAGAAGATTGAAATTTACATTAATCAATGATCATTCATCATCTGTATCGATCTATTTCAAGATGTTCCTACAGAATTATCCTTTGAGTTCAATTGAATTTAGTCATGTACTTTCATTATTTTCTTCTATTTTCACTATTTCAATGATCAATAACTTGTGTTCAGTGTTATTTTTTCTCCAACATTGAACTCATTGTTTTGTTATCACCGAGTTTATTTTTGTTCTGTCTATATGTATACATAATGTGTATAAAATGTTAACTGGAAATTACTCTACATGCTTTTAACGTTCTCGTGTTTGGGCCCATTCCATGATGTTGTTGGTAAGACCTCAATGTAATAAAACGATCGAACGCCAAAGTAGGGAATCTGTGTCGATGACTCCAGGGCTACTCTAATTAGGTAGGAATAGTGTGGCCTGACTCACGTCAAAATCACTTGACGTGGATCATGATAATCAAGTGAATCAACTTGTTAAGCAGCTGGTTAGAATAAATGCTCTCGATAGGCAAGGTATTAATATTAACAGGTTACAGAATTGTAAGTCTGAATCACTGCCACATAAGCTTATTCATAGCATTTAGTTCATCGATGCGCCTCCGTTGTCCTTGACAAGTATCTGCGAACTGTTTGACACTCAGCGATCTGTCTACCGAGGGGTTTGACTGAGGGCCGTTGACAACACCGTAGAAAATGACTTTATGATACCATCATATTATTGATGAGTCAGAATAGTAGTTAATATATTTCGGCAAGCAAACAGTTGCATAAGTGTGACTAGGCGCATATATGTAGGTATTTGTTAGCACATTTTATAATGTACCTTATGCTTCTTGAATTGAGATCAAACTCTGATGGATTTCATATTTCGATCTTGAAATATTTGAATTATAACGTATTACGCTTAACATTCTCATCGTCAGATGAATATTGTATGGGAAACGGAATATTGCGAAGTCCTCACTACTTGAACAACGTCCTCAAACTTTCCCTTACGAACTCCATTGTTATTTCATCCATGTGAATGTCCCAAAATAAGGGTAAACATCTGTTCAGTTCACTATGGAAACTACTTTTTTTACAATTAGTCAGCTACTAGATTTGACTGTCAAATTATTTTTGTTTCACACTTGTAAAATTACTCATTGTGCTTGGTTGTCTTGTTTATCAAACAGGTCATTTACACTTATGGAGTTGTCCATTCCCTCTTTATCTTATTCACTTACCTCTCAGAGTTTCACAGAGAAGCTTTAAGTACCTGACTTATCATAATGTACTATTTTGAGATTTTCCCATTCCGAGCGAAGTTTGACACATTTTTCAGGCTTGTTAAATAAATATTTACTTCCTTGTAGTAGTAAAATCAGAGGAAATTAGTAGTTTTCTTTGCTTTTTATTATAAAAACGGGTTGTGAGCAAGGGGTGGCGTTTGACCATTTATATTCTGACTTAACCACTTAATTACGTATTTAAGCTCCGAGGATGAGGATCGCCCACTGACCAGGGTTCTCCGAACTACTCCTTAGAGTAGTTTGTATGATTTTGGTATCTGTCTTCAATAATGGAGCACCGAGTTCTTCAATCCTTGGGCTATGCATTTTTTCTCACATTAACTCCCTTGGTTATCCAATTCTTGCGTTCAATTCTATATTCGATCTTCCTCTTTCATTGACGATGTTGTCCAGGTACGTGAAGGTGTCCACCTGTTCTGGAGTTTCGCTTTGAAGTGTCATTGTGTTCGTGTTCTCTGTTTTGTATTTCAGGGTCTTGATTTTCCCCTGTATATGTTGAGGCCAACTGCTTCGGAGGCAGCTGCTACACTAGTTGCTTTAACCTGGGTTTGTTGGTGTGTATGAGATAGAATATCCAGGTCATGTGTGAGGTTCAAGTTTTCTAGGCACATCCAAGCTGTCCGTCGTATACCGTGTTTTCCCTGAGATGTAGAAATCTTCATAAACCAGTCGATCACTAGAAGAAAGAAAAAGCGACAGTAGGCAGCCTTGTCTGACTCTCATCCTCACATGGGATGCGTCTATCAGCTGTCCTCCTTGCATAACTTTGCAGAGTGGTCCGTCGTATAAATTCCGTATGATGTTGACAATCCCCTCAGGCACACAATAATTTAGAAGAAGGTTCCACAAGGTTCTTCCATTCATATTGTCAAAGGAATTTTAGTGATCGAGGAAGTTTATGTATAGTGACGGATTTACAGAAATGAAGGATCCTCGGAAACTAACACCATCTGGCTTGGAACACGATGAGGAGCAGACACAGCTTCAACGTAGGTTACCCGAAAGCCCATGTAGTGATCGTGAGCAGTAGTGCGTAGTGAGAGCAGAAGAGATGGAAAAGGCAGCAGAGATAGGTAACAGTATACATCTTTTCAACCTTATCACTATAACGGATACAGAAATATGGCTCTTAGTGAAAATATCTCTTTACTCGAACACCATTGGTTTGTGGGGAGTAGTGTAATGTCGTGTACTATATTACACCTACATAGCTTATTCTAGTTTCTGGACAAGCCAATTCACCTATAATGTTATGAGTCATATTTTGATCTTGTTAATTATTCGCTTATTGACCTTGACTATTTTTTTTATATGAGCGCATGTGTATGCACATTTCGTATCTTATTCATCGCATGTCTGTCATTCATTTTTGTCTGACTATAAATGTTGATTAATGCTTGCTCATAGTGAGTTGGCTTCCCAGCCATCTCCACTATGCGTCATCTTTCCTTCGCTTACTTACATTTGCTAGTGTGCTCACTGCCTTCTAGCCCATGTTATTTGTCAATAAAAATGTAGTTGCTGCTTCCCTTTGTCTTCTGATATTATACACCGTTCAGATTGATATAATAACGGTTATCGAGACGATCGATTAATGAAGCACTCCACTACAAATTGGTTAGCCCGACTAGCGAACACGCAACATAATCGACAACCTCAACGTACGAACTCACAACATGACTGGTAATTCCTACCTGCAAACACGCAACATAATTGTTGAGCAGTATTTGGAACATGCAACATAATTGGCGACCGCGACGAGCGAACGCAAATCAAAAATGGAACCGCCGACGACATTTTCCGTCATGATTCGAATAATCATCATATGCTCATTATTACAATAATGTCATATCATCTAACGTGGAATTATTATTAATTTTGTTCGTAACGACGGTAAATTAGGATGTTTACGCTGTCAACTCACTAATCGAACAAATTATAATTATATGAACATTACACGTTATGATATTCGAAACTCACTGGATTATTTTTATTATACAATGACGTAAATTATTCCTGATTCAAGTGAGTTCTTTCCAATTTTTTTCATGTCGTTTTCGGTCTAGTATTACACTCCATCATAGACATAAGTTTGGAGTCATACTCCCGATAGTAGAAACTTACGATCTCGAGGCAATTAATGTCCATTCATCTCATTGGTACGCAGCAACCGTCGTGTTTGACGCCGAATTACCAGTCAATTAGTAATGATTATGTTCATATTATCTATTCATTCGCATGTATAACTGAATGCTGCATCATCCATTACCTATAAACACTATTCAATTATTGCTATTAATTTTCTATTCCCATTGCACTGTACACCAGAACATAGAGTTTAGAGCTAGTCTCTCAAAGATACACTCTTGTTCGTCACATCCAAGTCAGTCTCACTCGCCGTCATCGATAATCATATGTATTGGTATTTTTATCATGCCTTAATACGGTTTCGTAACAAACGAGGTCGAGCGCATATCCCTCTAACTACACAAACCACACTAGGCTTCATGACCAAAAAGGAATACAATTCCGCATATCTCGTCTCAGCAGTCACTATCCTGTTCCTCTGGTCATTCTACTAATACATATTTAACGATAACCCAACGCAAGCGACAACGCACACTGACTTCGCATTTCATGATCATTATCAATAGCAGTATAGCACGAATATCACTCATTGATGCAGCCATCATGCTACGGCTAGATTATTTTAATCTCACATAAACTTCAGTTACGTAAATTCGAATACACTCATCGCCAATTGACGCTATTTACTCTACTGCGGCTTGTCAGAACACATTAATATTTCACTGTTCTTCATCCTCATATTCAATCAGCACCACATAGCAATTACTGTTATATTCTATTTTCACGATATTTCGAATTGCTCATACAAACGTGTTATTTTATCATCCGGACAGTCTCAACATAAATGCATGTTAAATTTTTTCGTACGCTTACTAATGTACTCATAATCACATGCTAGCATAACGATTTTTGTCCGCATTTTGACAATATTCATGTACATTTTTTACAGAAGTATGACACTTTCGTTTAATACGCTCACCCCACTTGACATTGTAATTTATCAGGTATTGTACCATTTTTTTCCCCACATTTTGACGTTATCCACATGCCATTTCAGTGTTATTTTCAAATTAATGTGCTATTACTTTAATTTTGTTTTGTGAACGCATATACACCACCTCTCCCTTGTTTATTTTGCATACCAGTGTTTCCTCCGGACACTCTGGGGGGAGCTATGTGGGGAGTAGTGTAACGTCGTGTACTATATTACACCTACATAGCTTATTCTAGTTTCTGGACAAGCCAATTCACCTATAATGTTATGAGTCATATTTTGATCTTGTTAATTATTCGCTTATTGACCTTGACTATTTTTTTTATATGAGCGCATGTGTATGCACATTTCGTATCTTATTCATCGCATGTCTGTCATTCATTTTTGTCTGACTATAAATGTTGATTAATGCTTGCTCATAGCGAGTTGGCTTCCCAGCCATCTCCACTATGCGTCATCTTTCCTTCGCTTACTTACATTTGCTAGTGTGCT